CCACTTTTGGAACATTTTTCCTTTCTGATGGAGTGTTCTGTTGGAAGGTTCTCCAAATGAAACTGGTGGCCGAGTCTAGAGTTTGCTTGCTGTACTGGACTCCAATTTCCCGGGTGAATCGGGCTCCACCGGGGGTGGTCGCAGCCCTGTTGGTGACCGTGTATTGGACTGCATGGCTACCATGGATGGCTGCAGAAACTATTGCTGCATAAGTAAGGAACAACATTAATTTGGCCATGGTTTTGCTGGTTTTTCTGTGCTCGCAATTGTTTCCTAGTTGTGTTTGGCTTGGCTATGCAGCAATTACGTATTTATAGATGTTCGGAAAGTCTAACGTTGACCAAATCTATGCTGACTAGGAAGAGAGATAATATTAATAAGTCATTAATTGATTGAAAATATGGCAACAGCGACATGGTCAACTAGAATTCCCGAACATCAGAATGGTTCTAGCGTGGTTTATTATGCACGAGAGTTAGAGATCGACGTATTTTCACGATCGTCCTCATTCAGTATATAAGTTCTTTAGAATTTCTCATATCATTTTTCTTGGATTAGCATCTGTGCACTATTTATATATCCTACTTCTCCCAATTCCTTTGTTTTGTTTTTGGTTTTCCTAAAAAGCTGATTTAGTTGAGCAGTTGGATCAATGTAGTCTAAGCGTTTGCCTCGTCCGTGTTCCGTATAAAATGTGTACAGATGGCGATGAAATCACATTATTTTACTATTTCAAATATATTTGATTATGGTGACTTGACTAAGTTCATTTCATGGTGAACAGCCGGCCGGCCAGACTAGTAAAATTAGTGTAAACTTTTTGAATTAGTGGATCAATTGCCACGGCTTTAGAGGACGGAAATTTGACAAATTAGAAAATTCAAGGAAGTTTGAATTTGACAGACATCTTGACGAAAACGGTTTTGATCTAGAAATTGAACTTCGGTTAGACTTCTTGTAGGAAAATTGTTTCAATATTGGATATTGGATTCGCAGTAGCAGATTCGACAATATATGTTACATTGCAGTAAAGTGTAACAGTTGATTTAAGCAGAACTACAAAAGCAAATTTGCATAAACGAGTGACACACAAATAAT